CTCGTGGACCATCCACGTGCTCGCCAGTGAGGCGATTGCACCTCCGAGCGAATGCCCGGTGACCCAGACCTTGTAGTTTGGATGCCGAGAGCGAAGGGACTGGACCTCCTCCTCCAAACTCGGCCACAGGGCGTCAAACGCCGTTTTCCAGAAAGTTTGCACTTCGCCGTCCAGAAACTTGGTCCTTCCGAGCAAAATGGTCGTGATGAACACCTCGAAGGCTCGAGAGAAGTCCTTAGTCCCGCGAAAAGCGACGATGATGGCTCTCTCCGCATGCGAAAGGGCAACGTACCCAGAGCACTCGTTATCGCTGAAGCCGCAGTCCCTCGTGACGATCCGCCGGATGGCGACGTCCGACTCAGATAGCATGCTTTCCAAGCACTTCTGGGGATCACGAGTGTCGTACGCAGCGGCCGATGCGAGTAACATCTTGAGGCTCGTGTCGGGGACGTACTGAGAGACTTCGTCTTCGCAATTCCACGAATCGACTATGTTTTCTGCCCTTTTGCACGGGTTCGTAAATATCGTGCCGTAGGCGTGACATTCGCCGTCTCTGGGGCACCATCTGCACGAACCGATCCAACTGCTCGTGTTCGCGCATCGCCCGCAGTCTTGTATGCCATTGCAAACTGCTGCAGAGACGGTGAAGAAAGACACCATTCCCAGGAGTGCCCCGAAAATCACGGGAGCTGTATTCTGCATTTTCCGTGCAAACAGAGGAACTTGAAAGACGACGCACGAGCCAGCTGTCTCAACGGGGAGGAATCGATGCACTGAATCGGTGAACTACGGAAATTCACGTGATCGCTCATGGGCCCTCAGAGCCACAATCTCAACCTGATAAGAGCAAGAAAAATAAACTATTCGATAAGGCTATTCTTTCGAGGAAATGGAAGCAAGCCGCAGTCTAAGACGAACGAGATATCTGTGTTGGCATGGGAAATATGCCGCGGAAGAACCGATCTCTGAGATTAATGAATCCGTATGAGCCGCAATTTGCAAAAGGCCTCAGAGAAAGAGGCTTTCCTTTCGGGATGAACGCCTGAATCGGACGAACCTCGTCACCCCAGAGTTGAAGAGGTGCTGCAAGCAATGTGAAATCACTAAGCTAAAATTCATGGAAACGATGGGAACGATCTTCTACGATGATCAAAGGAGTTTTTTTTTATGTCACCCTTCCTGTCCAAGACAGCATCGTGGCCTTTAGCCTTTATCTTGGCCTTTAGTCTTAGGGAAGAGGTGACCGTGCGAATATGACGAGAGGTACCGATTTTGCTTTATTTCTTGAGAAATAAGGCTCATAAATTCCACTAAGATATTTCCACCATAACTTCACTAAGAGAGAAATATCTCATTCGTTTCGAAAGGGGAGCTAACCTAGACCTTTTCATTTTGCACTGCACTCTTGCTGGAACGCCCAGCAAGGCCTGGGCGTTTTCCTCTTCGCGTGGGGCGTGCAGTCAGTTTTTTCTTCCTGTTGGTTCTTATTGCGTTTCGTAATTGGGGCTCCGACCACTTGTGGACTATGTTTTCTTCCGTTTACCGCTTCATTGGTCAAATTTAACCCGGAAGGACGGGATTGGGTGGAAAAGTATCGAATCACGTCTTTTTCCGTCATAATAAAAAACGCGCCAGGACTTTCTGGCAGTTTTGGAACAGCAGCGACAACTGGAGGCAATGATGAATGCCCCCCAATAGTCCGTTATTGTATTAGAAAGTACATCTTCTTAGGAGGAGAAAAAATTGCTCCCTGTTCGAATAGCTGAGTCTGGGATTTGACTATTGCCACAGTTGTGTATGTACCAGGTTTAATACTGTATGATAATGTTGTTACGGTTCGATGCGTTTTTCTCGCTCAATCGGTGGTGGGAATCACAATACCATAGATATCAGGGCTGACACAAATCTGGGATTGTTAAAAAAGAGGCACAGCGGAGTGAAAAGAAAGAAGGTCCTCAGCCGTGTCCAAGATGGATCTTCAACGGTCGTCGGATGACCGCAATCAGGACCGCAAGGACAGTGAAAGTTGAGCGATTGAGATCCATCCACGATCCATTTGTCAACTAATCAATCATTAGTAAAGCAGGGAGGCGGTCGGGGATAGGTTCATCCTGGAAAAAGGGAGAAACCAGAAGATGCCTAATCCCGAGGGAAGAGAGGACTGGAGAGGCCGAAAACGTTTAATCCCGAAAGAAATGGAAGAGAGGAACGACGATGCTTTCCACTCTCAAGTGACAAGCATCAAACATGAAGAGGCCGTAAGAAGATTTTATCTCTCCTTGTCTTCTATGGGAAAGAAGGGGAGGAATCTGACTTCTCAGGCGCGTGTGATCTTATGGCACTGGTCATCATTTCCGGGCAACTGGAGATTGGATTACTGGATTAAGATATGAACATAACGCCGTCTCTAGTCTGTGGGTGTTACAATGAAATGGAAAGAGGGGTGGTAAAAAAATAAAAGACATCCAGAGGAATAATAAGGATTTCTTGGCTGGGGCGTAGGGGTCAGGGGTCAGTCGCGACACGTAGGGTGTGTCGCGCCTCATGCATATACTGCGGCCGTACTTGGGCGACTCATTGAGAGTTTTTCCCTTGTATACGGGGCAGTCCTCCGGCCAGGCCGCTCACCGAGTGTCGTGTCGGCTGGGCCGTCACAATATAATAATATCTCTTTAATATGAGAAAGCCCCTCTTGATTTAAGGGAAGAGAGTTGACATACGTCTCTGGCCCTGCCGAGAGCGGTTTTAATACCGTATTCAAAATATTGAAGTGGTGGAATGGGTCAAATCGTGCCGAGGAAGCGTTCATTGCGCTTTCGAGGAACTAACTGATTTTTTTTTAGCTTCATCGCTGATGGATGCCATCGCTCTTCAGATTTCACGTTCGAAAAGGATTGAGTACGGATTCTCATCCGAGGTTTTCTGGGTAGATTCTTTTTCTCCAACTTCTCCGACACAAAGCTCCCTTCACGTGATCGGGTCCCTTAGGATAATTACGGGTCAAAGGAAACCTGCAGGTTTTATGCATATGACTGTGCCCGAGTAGCACGTAAACGTTCTGGAGTGTGTTTAAGGTGTGTTCAAGGAGGTTTTTGAACACCTTTTTGACGCTCAGTTAACGTGTCGTTTGATCATCAAACATCCCGTTTTATGATTTTCGTTGAATATTTTAATACATGTTTTCCTTAAAGCATATATATGGCATCCATCTGACAATGGCTTAAAGCCAAAGGTTCGCTCAAGCGGTGCTAGAGGACGCCAAATTAATCGCTACGTCAATTACTGATACTGTGGAATTAGTCCGCAATACTCTCCACATCATAACCGATCTTTCTCCACATAAATCCGAGGGAAGACACTTGAATTCTTCAACAATTCGGTCTTTAGAGGGAACCCGGTGCAAGGATTCTCCAGGAAACTCTGGCTCGGAAGATACATTGATGATGGTTCAATTTCCAAGGTCCCTTCATGAGAAGGAAAACGAAACGTATTAAATGAAAGTGGATATCGTGGCTCATACGCAAATGGAATTCATCGCAGGGCGTGTCGCACTTCCGAGATAACTGCGGATATGATGAACGTTTCCGTAATAAGACAAGATAACCGCACGGTTCCCGACCAGCCTATCTGAGAAAAGGGGAGATAGTACTTCCAACTTGACTAATGGAGTACATGAGTAATCGAGTACATGCCATATGAGCAGGGCTTTACTCAGATTGAATGCAATATAAGTAGTGAAAAGAGCGTATGCAGGACGATATTTGCCTGTTGGGTGAATCTTGAAACCTATGGTGAACCAAAATTGGTTCATGAAACCAATTTTACCATAATATCTAATTCGCGTACTTGATGAATCCACGGGAACACATAATTTGAACGGTTTATTTCAGATATTTCAGCAGTCAATAGAACGTTCCCAAGGACGTTCATGGAACGCTGGCAATATCATAAATGAAACGTTCATTGAATAGGAACGGGTGGCATGTGGACGGAAGTCTCTGAAGATCGTGGCGACTCCTTCCACGACAATGGAGCACTTTGTTCCCTCCTGTTTGCAGCAGGTTCAGCTACTATTAGTTATTTCTGGTTTCGGATGCAGAATATAAAATTGGGATAAATCATTCCATGTGATATCATTATACCATATGAGTCCTAAAAGGATGGCATTCTCTGAAAAATTGTAGACATTGATAGTTCTCAAACTCCTTTTCAGTAGTTCCATAAATGTTTTTTGCCTCAAGGGGATCAGGATTTCTGATTATAATCTCTTAGGGAGATGAAGTAGGTAACTGGGAAAGGCCCTTGACTCTTCTAAAGTATGCTTGGAGGTATTATGGTAAAATAATTTTTTTTAGTAAGCCAAAAAAGTAAGATTTCCAGTTTAAGCATTAGAATTTCTGGACGTATTTTTCTTAAGGTTCACAATCCTTTTTTTTCAGAATCAGAAGAAATTGAGTTATTGTACAATGTGGCCAAAAAAAGAAGGGGGGGGGGAGGGGACTCTTCCTCTTTTACAACTTTCTTTTTCGCTCCAGGTCTTTCCTGGAGATTTTTCCCCTGTAATATCATGATGCAAATTTCCCAGATATGTTATGTGTATTGCAAGGTCATTCATTCTTGAAAGGTGCGCTTGGCATCTGCATTAACACGTTGACGGCCAGCCTATTTTTGCTTGTCCGCCGCGTGGGACCACGCGCATTTTTTTTTGTCAAAAAATGCGTCCTGCCATCAGGACGTAAAAAATCTGCATCCTGGCATCAGGACGCATTGTCGCCAACGTGTTAAGAACGTCACGGAGGGAGTGAACTGGGCTCGATGTCAACATTTTTGCCATGGAAGGAAGTCTACATATGCAATTTTCCCAAACGTTACTGGTCTATTAGTACCTTTAGGAATTTTAATTAAGAGGGACGTATTCAGAGGATGAGTGCGAGAGCATGAATGGGAGCATGAGAAGAAGGAACACTTCTTCAAAAGTACTCCAATTGTGTCACATGGGATCATATCGGGCGAGGGACATGAAGACCAAACGTGGATCGTGTGAGCGGTGGGTCGTGATCGATGCCCGAAGGTCCCCGGTCATGCCGTCCTGAACCTTTCCTCATGCAATAAGACGTCTGATATGAGATTTGGTAACCACTCCCTTCCAACGGAGACAGCACCAATAACACCTGCCTGCAGAAGAGATGCACAGAGCATCGGTGACGCAATGATCTATAATGTATTTACTTATTTCCTTGAGACGATAGCCAAATAAAGAAACATGATATAAAGGAAACCTATGCAATGCAGGAACACAGTCAACAGTCTTCAGTCCTCTCGTAGAGACAACACCGCAACTCTGCTTGCAATCACACTTGACTTCGATGAATTGGTCCGGATGTCTATTTTCGATCATCACAATGAGGCCTGTCCAGTCCTTGGTTGAGGTATATAATGTGATTCCCTGGAATACCTGCAGGCAAATGCTTAACGTTTGCTCAAAGCCAGATTTAAAACAAAATGGCGTTCATGCCGTCGCTGTGAAGGAAGGAGGAACTGACCTCATTTCTCTTCCCTTTGGACAAAGAATATGCTATGAGGGCGTCAGCGTGATAGTTTTCAGGTGGAATCACTTGATCGACCAAGACTGGGCGTGAACTGTGCAGAGCAAGAACATACCTGGGATATTGCTCTGCATCCTCCAGACCTCGACGAAGAAAAAGGAGAACTTTTTGAAAATGGAACTCTGTGAATGAGAATCGACGATTGGGACTCGTCCAGATTCGAAAAGGAGAAACAAGTTCAATTCTAACCCATATGATTGCTCACGCGATTCCCCTTGTCAATATCTCCATAATGTCATCATTGACTAGTCCTCCAAAGCTATCTCATTCGAAACAAAGCGCATATGCCGAAACGTATACCCCTAATGCAATAATAAAGGATCAATGAGAAAAGGTTGATTTGCCTATTACAGTACGTTACGTTATTGAGAAGCAGATTGGTACCCCAGCGACATGGTTCTATTCTAGAGATACTTTCCTGATGTGATTAGATGATGCGACGTTATTTTAAAAATATATTATGTAAATAAAAAGTAAGCGTAAAATTGCTGAACATATTTTTCTCTCATTTAATGTTTTCATTTTTTGAACGTCTCTACGATCGCCCAGAAAATAAGGGGGGAAATTAGCTATGTGGTTTTCTATTGGAATGTGGAAAATGTGAGAATCCCACCTCGTAAAGATGCATCACCTATAGCATGCGAACAATGGAACCTCGTTTCCTTCAAATCGGTACGGTATATGTGCATGTGCGGTATATTCATCAGAACACTTGAAACGGAGTGGGCGCTATGGGAATTGGGTTTTTGCTACATCTCCCAGTAGACCCTATAGATCGAAATTTTTAGTGCGTGCAAACTTGTCAGCTACCACTTCCCTCAGCCTGACGCACCCGTGCAGTGCCTCAAACTACTTAATGGTAATTAACTACCTCGCTGTTCCGCCAGGCGCAAATAATGCGTCCTTCATGCAATTAAGTTTCAAGGACAGAGTTCCTGGATTTGAGAATATTGTTCTCACAAGTATGAAATTGTTCAGTGCTCATGAAGACAAGCAAAAAACCACGGCATGAGCAGGGACACCACCGTCTGTTTCTCATGAACGGAGGGAAATGGCTAAGATCGAAAAACAACGGAAATGCATACCGATTTTCCAGTGATTGAAAGACAAAGGGCAGATCAAATACTGGCCAGGCTCGAACACAGAATCACAGCTGACGCAGCCTGTAACTTTTCTTTCCGAATTTGTCACGTGACTTCCAACAATGGGCTTGTTTGATTTCTCAGTGCTGGTTCGCAGGACTAGAATGCCCAGATCGAGCAGGAATTTGTCGGACTTGGAAGCCTCCCTGCCAAAAGGTGGAAATAAGAAGCCTTCACCACCAGTTGATGCATCTGCTGAGGCATATTAATTATAAATTCTGATCGAATACAATCTTTATGGGGGGAGCTGGGAGTCATAGACGACTGCTAGTTGAAGTGAAAATGATATGTAAGATGCCAGTCAGTGTTTACCTGTCACACAAATACAGGAATCTAGATAGTGGGAAAATACCTTTTTCCCTCTTGAATGAGGCTGACTTCAACTTCAGTAGACTCAAAGACAGTGAGTATCACAACAGAGGAATGCTGTCTGGATGCGCAGGACGGAAGAAACCCTTCTAGCCTCACTTCACTCCAGTCGTTGCGAACTTTGCAAATAGCGATGCGATCAAAATACCTGGTGAATATGTAAAGGAAGAAAAAAAGGGACTTCGCACTGTGAACGGCATTTCAAGTCATGACCGCATGGAAAAGTTGTAAGGCAGACCTGAGGACACCCTGAAAAGGAATCCAAAATAACCCCTCTCCTGCTCCGTGAGGCATGTACTTTTCTCTTAACACGTCGGTCCATTTCGTGCAGTCATCAGACCAATCCCCTCTCCAGGAGGAATGGCCCCATGGGTTCCTCATGCGAACCAGCCGCTCTCCTCCAATGTCTTGGACATCCAGCACTGAGTATGCATGCCTATGAAACATTTTCGCGGCTCTTATTCACTAAAGATGAAAAAAGCTCTATAACTGACTTCAGGATGTTGTACCTCGAGCTCAAACCCATGTGGTTATACTCTTCCTCACGGATATTCCTGCTTTCAGCGCCACAGCCTGCACCCATGAGGAACCCTGCCTCGCGACTGGATACCAGCTGAGCCCAGATGAGATCGGGCTCCAGTGCATCCTCGGGTGCCTGGGAAGAAGGCTGTAAGAGCAGGGACTCGCATGGAGCCCCGGTCAGAATAGCCAGTCCTTCGATGACATTTCCCGATGCCAATGCTTCGTAACAGCCATGCAACTTTGCCATCGCTTTCTCAATCAAAGGGACCCAGAGCTGCTTCCTTTTTGCCTGTAAAAAATAATAATCAGCAGCTGATGAATATGGATGAAATCTGCAAAGTTTCCTGATGCTAAGTCGCAGTCATTGATACCTGAGAGTACACCGGATATCCATGACGATTGCAGGGTAAGAGGTCATCAACTAGGACTATGGTCCAACGGCCATCTTTGCACAAACGAACTTGGTATGCTCCCTCAGGACATACTTTTTTTGTCACTATGATTCTTTCAACTAGATCGCTGCGTTCAGCCAGGACAGCCAAGGCACTCAAAAACCAGCAGTTCCCCAGTACACCTAAATAAAGCCAGGAATACAAGTAGGAATGTACGGCAAACTTACATCCATACGGCAGGTACTCCGAATGACGTAGATGGATTTAAATCCACATAAATCACGAGGATACAAATTCGAAAATGAACAGACCTTGGGTGATGTCGGAAGATAGAGGAGTGCGATATACGGCCCAATTTACTCCAGGACCGACGTCTGTGACTATCTCATTTGGTCTCAACCACTTGTCAACTTTGTTTGCATCACCTGCCTGTCGTGACTTGTAGAGGGACCGAGGTGCTGGAGGGAATGATGGATCTACGAAGGGCGTATTTGCCTGCAATGCATTCATAGGACGATGTCATTGTTCCGTTCTGATGATTTCGGTGCAGGAATGGAAACGAGAACGATTTGGTCTCACTTGACGGCAAAATTTCACAATATCCGTCCATTGCCGTCTTGCAACAAATTCGTCAACGTACGTCGGGTTTTCCATCGAGCGCTTTCTCTTTGTACTGTAGCACTTCCCAGAGGACTAAATGTCTCCTAAAATGGACGTCAAGGACGACAGACTGAACAGGACTCTGCATTTTAGTCAACAGAAATGAGTTCGCGTTCAATCCTCAATCGAATTTCGCTCGAAAAGGGAAATAATGAGGTATTTTATCTCTCGAGGATAAACCTTACTGAATGAAAAACTCTGCCAATCTTGCTAAATGTTTTATATACAAAGTGGACATAAAGTGCTTGAGGGTTTTTATGTCCATACGACTCGTAAGAATATTCTGCTGGATTACGTTGTACCACCTGGTGAATCTGTCAACGCCGACCTGTACCAATGGGATTTTGAGTCACGGGTTGCAGCCAGCTAGAGTTCAAAAGCAGCGAAAGTTGATCGAGCAAGGTCCACTGTTTCTTCACGATGGCGCTGGTCCTCAAAGGACACGTATTATTGTTATGCAACTAGCTGAATCGGACTGGGAATTGCTAGCTCACCCTCATTCACCAGACCTCTCTCCTCCAGACTTTTTTTTTCTTATCCCAAAACTCAAAGTTGTAGACTGCCTTGGAGAGTACTTTGAAGGATCACAATAGATGAATTAGTTAAGCTTACTTTGCTCACTTTTTGATGAGGGGGTCTCGGAACTTATTGACTGACCCTCGTATACACCATTTGAAAGGTTATCTCTGCAAATATTTATAGCACACTATATCACACATCTCACTTTTCAACATGTCCAATTCCTTGTCAACACATTCGTGCGACGTTCTTGTGAACTTTTCTAGAACTGCCTCCAATTGGGCAGGTGTGATGTTAAGGAATGCTCTCTCAATGCATGCGCGCAGTTCAGCCACGCTTTGTGGAAGGGCGGCCTATACAATATTCTTAACGTGTTCCTACAATGAAATCCATAGGGATCAGGCGTCGGGATCCGTTCGCGCCTTTCTGATGAAAAGTTTCCAAACTGATGAATCGGACGAGGGATGTTTCTTTACATGGCCTTCCAGATCCTTACCCCTACGGACTTCTTTGTGGGGACATGTTAAGAACATCGTGCAATGCCACCCGCCCACAAAGCTTGGCTGAATTGCGCACATGCAATGAGAGATCATTCCGTAACATCACACCTGCGCTATTGGAGGCAGTTCTGGTTATGTTTACAAGAAGGTTACATGCATGTGTTGACAAAGGAGGTGCACATATGGTTGGGTAAGATGTGTGGTATGGTGTGCCATAATGCATTTTCAGAGATTACCTTTCATATAATGCATATTGCTTATTTCTACGCCATTCCATTCCCACGCCCATTCCCAAGATATACGAATATGAAACCCCTCAGGGTCTTTATGTTCACGCTATATTACGCATTACACGCTATATTTTCAGTTAAAGTTACGAATTTTTTGGTTTGCCCGCAACAATGTGAAAGGATACCACAACTTTATTGTGGTATCCTTTGCGTATTCCTGCGGCTTATATTTAATCCTTCGAATAGATTCTCCTCAAAATTTGAAAGTTTCATGCAACTAGGAATGTATGAGGTCTACCGTATGAAATACTAAATAACAGCCAAGGGCAAACGACTCTCGAGGCATATCTATTGCAGCTGCACAGTGAACTTCCTCACATTTTCCTCCAAGTTCAACTGTATCGTTCCGAAGTTGACACCTAGCTTGGGAGCGGATAGTTTGAAATTCTCGACCGCAAAGCCAAAACAGATACCTTTGGGGATTCTTCTCCAAATGTACCGATGCCCGTCGTTACACCGAGGTGATGACGAAGTAAATTACAACACCACTGTTGCGACGGATCACATAGGAAACTTATCGTATGGACTGCTCTCGCACGAGGAACAGCATGGAGTCGATGGAAGTGTGACAGATAACGATATGACCATATCGCCACGCAAACATGTGGCATCGGCTGACGACGATGCAATGGAGCGCGATTCCTTTTAAAGTCAGTTCTCTCGATATCGCTAAGTCAAATAGATGTTTCGATTTCATAACCGGCCAAATTGTACATGCATGCATGCAGTATTACGGGACTATTCGTTTTAGTAGAATCACGCGAAAGAGTCTGAGAGTTTGACTTTTTTTTGCAACACTTTCGCGCTTGAGGTTATATTCCGAATGGGTCATAGAGTCGAAAGCCTCTCGTTCCAAACCAGATATAATCTCAAGAAAGCCTTGCAAATTTCTAACCGCTTTAGATTGGTGTCGTGATGGCGTAGATCACGGTCACTGACTGACTGGTCTACGGAAAGAAGTGTGGTTAGATTTATGCGAACCTCGCCCGTTTATTTGAAGAGGCGAATAGAATAAACAGAAATAAATTCAGAAAAATTGTGCCGAGAAATTAGTCCAGGAAAGGAAAGACTGGGAAAGGCGGTAACTTCAAGTTAGAGAGAATTCCAGTTAAAAGGTTGGAGTTATCAATAGTTTATTGGGAATTGAGTCGAATGAGATTCTAAACGGTCCTCTTGAATGAGGACATTGTATTTTCAAATAGGAAACGCAGATTCTTACTTTCACGGGTGTAGGTTTTGGCTCCATTTTTGCTCAAGTGGCAATCGGAATGCCATGGCCAGAAATGCTGCAGCTAGGCGATAGGCTGACGACCCTGTCCCCTGTCTATCCTTAAGGGTTCCCCCATCCCGTGAGCTTATGTTCCGACGCGACACCAAGATCAGGCGTTCTCCCTTCAGCTGATAACGATTTCCCAGCTGATAACGATTTCCCCCTTTTGTTCTCACTTGCGATACAGGGCATTCCTCGGGGATCTTCTCCAAAGACGAAGGACTGGCAATCGTTGGGCAATCGATTGTTTCAACTGAATCGGCTGCGCTCATTCTTCCAATCCAATTTTCGTTTTGATATTTGCTTTGACCCGAATGAATCATCTTGGATCGGATTAAAAAAATAAACAGTGGGTTTTCAGTTTCGCCATTGATGTATGCCATCCCTCGGAAGATGTCAATCTTCGAATTGAAGAGACGGAAGAGAGCTAATTCCTATTCCGCTTCCACCTCTTTAAATGTGGCTGGATCCAAGTATCAATCTAAAAATATGATCTTCTTGTCATGTGAAGTAGTAATGATTGTTCGAAATCTGGGGGTTTCCATAAACACGCTTTGAAACGTTTGTTCAGTCAATAAGATAATGTGAATTTGACATGATTCTTGAAGGGCTTTCAATCACGAAAGAGCATATTCAGGGACATCGTAATTTTCATTTAATTTTATTTTCTAGTTTTGGCTAATTCAGACCGCACTTTCACATTTGGGAAGCATAAAGGACACTGAATAAGCGATGTACACATCGATTTTCACTCACAACACGACCGGAAATTCATTCTCCCCGTTTTACAAAGCACATTTGTTTGTTCACAGACAGACATGGCAGTGAATGTATTAATAACCATTCCCTTTACGTTCAATCACTCAGGAAAACACGAGGAAATTCATGACCTCTTCCATACCGAAACGTTACTCATCAGAAATTGGCGTTCGATATCATTTCTCAAAGAAACCAGGCGGTAAAAAGCTGAAAATCATGATTTCAAATTATCCAGCTTGCCATCAATTCGCCAGAAAGAGCTTGTGCGACTTCTAAATCTCCTACCCTGTTCGGATTAGATTAATCATTATTAGGTTTGGGTTATGGTGTTGAGTTCCTTCAGAGGGTGCAGAAGTGTAGCCAAAGAATTATTATTTTCAATTGTAGGGAGGGGATATTATCATGATATATGGGAAACCGGAAGTTTTTTTTTGCACTTGTCTTATGTGAACATTTTATTCCCTATTCGAGTCGAAGTATTCGAGTATTTCTTTCTTTGCTATTGCAAAATCCGAAATATCATTTTTTTAGCTTCTCAAGCGCGAGGTCTTCTTTATGTGTAAGTAGTGAACTTTTTTTTTCCTTTCCATACTTATGTCACTTTGGCTCAGGTTCACAAGATCCACAGTGGCTCATTCCATTGTCACTAGCTTTGACTGAATGTAATTTTCATCCATGATGAACGGGTGGAAATTTGGACGTCCAATATGAGGAGACACTGAAATACTTGTTAAGCTTTGTTTTGTTTAAGCATAGGATACATGATCCCAATTGTGCCCGTTCACATTCCTGTTTGTCCTACAACAAACTCCTTTAATCGAATTCACATCCGCTCCAATCAGTAGCCTTTGTCTTTCGTGATCATCAAAACATTTATTCTCGGTTAGGCTCATTTCCAGCAGCATATAAACACAACACACAACAAATAAGTCCAACCGATAAATAAAATTGGCAAAGCTGGCAAACACCACTGGTAAACAAAAATGGTAAACAAACCTATTGTATGAATATGTTCATATCATATACGCTCTGAAATAAACTTCAAAACGAATCATACGCGATAGATGGAAATGAAATGAAATTCAAAATTCGAATTCATGAAACAAGAAGTTCGAGAGATTTTCAATGATATGACCTCAAATCAATTAGTAATAAATCAAAGTAAACCTCATCACAAAAGTTAAAGCCAAGAAAAAGCATATCCATCCGAATGAAACCAGAATTGAGTTTTTCATTTTTTTAGAAATATCAAAACTCACAATAATTTTTTTTCGCTGACATTCGGATGACGGCAATTCTCACTGCTTTCTACGAAATCAGAATAATTTACGATATGAACGTCACAAACGTAATACCATGCCCAAACAAAAAGCTATAATAAACTCTAATAAGATTCAAAAGTTTGGTACGTGATGCAAGTCTCGTAGCACGTCTTGGTTTGCTCCTCCTTGAACAACAATGAAACAAACAGTGGTGAAATGCCTATGATCTTGCTTTGCCTGTATACCTGCCTCCATTCCCATTTAACAACATAAAAAACAGGAGTCAGGAGTCAACTAATGAACAACCTCAGGCGAAGATGAAGCCAGAGAATGGTGCGACCACACTTTGCTCCGCGTGCAGTCCATTTTTCGTACTTTTTATTCGTTTTTGAAGGATTCTGACGCCCAGGGCGAGTTACTTCCGATATAGCAGGCCTCGTCATCTCCTTTCATATTTCATCACAGTGAGTTCCAACTTGAATTCCGAAGTAATATATATGGTTCGTATAGGAACTGGCGCGATATGGTGGAACTGCGGAAAAACTGCAGGACGCATCTTCGTTTTCTGGCTCTCCGTAACACTCTTTGTGAGGAGAGTCCGCACTTGCAGCTCCGCTGCCGTAGTAAGCTTCAACACCGTGATGGTAAGGGCCATTAGACTTGTTCGGTGTAATGACGAAGGGGAAATGCGGCACGGCGTCATCAAAGTTGACCACTCGCCAAGTGTTCTTCACTAATTTGTCATGCTGGGATGCATACTTATAATTTCCAACCCGTGGCATGCCAAATGTGTATGATATGACATTCTCTTGACGTGCAAACTTGTTTTTGACTATCCAGGCGCTTGCCAGAGAGGCGATTGTACCTCCGAGCGAATGTCCCGTGACCCACACCTTGTAGCTCGGATATGCTTTAGAAAGTGACTTCACATCCTTCTCCATCGACTTCCACAGACTGTCGAATGCGTTTTTCCAGTATGCTTGAACTTCCCCATCCAGAAACTTGGTCGAGTTCGATTTAATCGTCAGCAGTAACACGTGCAAAGCTTGAGCTTTAATAGAGCCACGAAAAGCAACGACTATAGCCTTCTCTGGATGTGAAAGGGCTACGTACCCAGAGCATGTGTCATCCAATCCGCATTGAGCGTTCGCGATTTTGCGAATGGCAAATTCCGACTCTGGTAATAGGCTTTGCAAACATTTCTGCGGGTGTTGTAGGTCATAAGCGACTGCCGATGCAAACAACATTTTCTGGGCTAAATCGGGGTCATATTCAGATTGCTCGCTCTGCCCAGAAGCAATTAAAAATGTCGACATACCGAGAAGTGCCATGTATAAACCGGATGGGTGCCACATTTTCAACGTTGAGCAGAAAAACAGGAACGACGACCCACAACCAGAGTTGTTGAACTCAGACTGTGATCACTGGATTGAAAAACAACATTTTCATCCTCTCATGGCGATACGTGGCAGAACTGGAGAGGCGAGAAAGAAAAAGTCTGCAGTATGGCACATAATGATGCACACGTGTGAATATGCATATGAGCTCGTGGCTCAGTTAGATGTTATGTTTACCAGGAAAGAAAATAACTTCAACGGTCGTATTACCAATTTTTTTTAACAGAGACCGAAAAAATTACTTCTTTTACTTCCTTAAATCGGAGTAAAACCAGTATTTTTTACATTTTTCAGGCAGTACCTAAATTCCGACACCTTAAGTTTCTGAACACGTTCATCGCCACATGACACGATGGTATGTTAAATTGCTCATAGGGAGTAACGGTGGTTCAAACCCCCTTGGCGGTAAAAGTGTTTAAAAAATTGGCATTCGCGAGATCGCTCTCATTGATTTTTTTCCCAGCACCAGATGAACATGTTACTGAATGAAAGACTTCCGGTGGTCATTGTTATTGAGCAATATTCATATTGGGCCGAAATAAATGACGTAGCCCCTCTGCTAGTAGGTCCTTTCCTACCTGCAGCCATTGGGCAATTAACTTCAGTTCAATTGAAATCATTTGGTTTCCATTTGTGAAACATCATTTTATTGAATAGTTCTCATATTGAGTTTCAGAATAACACTCTTGGACGAATATCTGGAATATAATATTTAGACCTTGACAGGCGGTATGCCTGTCAAGGTCTAAATATTATATTCATATGAGCATGAAGCACAACAGTTAGGAATTTCCTCAAGAGATGGTCGACATATTTTTTACCATGAACTGAAGCATGAATTCTCCCTGCAT